GCGAGGTGGGAGTGTGACAAACTTGAAAGAGGACTGGATTGGGAATCCGAAGATTTATACCCCTCCCGCAAGCCACTGTGTGACCCCGGCATAAGTCAATCTGCAGGCTCCATAGATTGCTCAAGCCTTCGGGAAGTATTGTGACCGGTTACAACGGGGGAGACCTTTTTCCGCGAGGCCTGAATGCTGGCCTCCCAAGACACATGTAAGCCTGTTTCAGAAGTGAAGCTCTCATTAGAAACCTCGTTTGGTGGTTTGAACAATGAAAGGAAAAGGTTTCTTTGGAGACTATCATCATAAAGGAATATCAGTATTTGGGCTAAAGAAAATACTGTCAGGTTCTGAAATGTTTGTCTGGAGATAAAAAGTTTTCCCGTTTTAAATATTCACAGCTGACCCCTGCGGGTTCTGCTGCCAGCCACTCAACTGCAACTTCCCTGCTGGTGACGGATTAGGGAGGGCTGGCTGCCTCCGGGACCCTGATGCCTCTGCTCCGTCGAGGTTTATTTTGCCAGTATCCACATCCAGAGACCCACGCATCTCACATCTGCAAGGCTGCTTCTGAGATGCCGGGCTATAAACGAAGTAAACTCAGCGTGGTCTGGAATTCAGAGCGCAGCACTCAACTCTGCAGAAAACACCTTCTGAGGGCCGGCAGGGGGCTCCACGCAGGCTGAAACATGAGAGGACGGGTGGGGGCTGCGGTGGGCAGGGCTCCATGACAACCGAAGCCACGCCATACCTGAGGCCATGCTTGAAGATGCCACAGCTTACAGCCGTGGACTCAGCCTCCACATTGTACCAAGAGTTAAAGCATGGACGGGAACAGAGCCACCACAGTTATGCTTGCCCACCTGACTCCAGCAGGAATGATCATCACCTAGAAATCAGCCAATGACAAATGCGGAGGGGCTGCGGGAGGCACAGTGGGGAGGTCCTTCTACACTGCTGGTGGGGGTATAAACTGGTGCAACCACTGTGGAAATCGGTGTGGAGCGTCCTCAAGACTAAAACTAGACATTTCATTCTACTCAGCTATTCCTCTTCCACGTATCTTCCTCAAAGAGTTAAAGATATCGTATTACAGAGGTCTATGCATGCCCATGTTTATAGCAGCGCAACTCATAATAGCTAAATTTTGGAAGCAGCTGTGTTCACCAACGGAGGAATGGATAAAGGAAGTATGGTATGTATACACTGTGGAGTACTACTCTGTCATGAATAAAGATAAACTTAAGTCATTTGTAGGAAAATAGAGGCACCTTGAGACCATAATGTTAAGTGAAATAAATCAGATGCACAAGTTTAAATATCGTATGGCTTCTTTTATATAAGAAATCCAAAGTATGAATAAAGAGCCAAATAAAAGATAGATAATAGGAAGTAGGGAGATAAGTCTTTCTTAAAAGGATCAAGAGGGTAGAAAGAGGGAGGTGGAGACGGGATAGGGGATGAAAGAAGGAACTGAGATGTTTTATGTATGTGCACCAAGTCACCACAAAAATATATAAACATTACATACTACACATACGGACTAATAAAATAAAGGAAGATGGTTGTCTAGGTGGGTAGCTCAGTGGCAGAGTGCCTGCCTAGCATGTGGGTTTGAGCCCTAGCACTGCAAAACAAGAAAAAGTAACAGGGGCTGGGGATTTAGCTCAGTGGCTTAAGCGCCAGCCTTGTAAGCAGGCAGTTGTGAGTTCGATCCCTGGTACCGATAAAAAGAAAAAAGACAAAAAAAAAAAAAAAAAGAAAGAAAGAAATAAAAAGTAACAAGGAAATTGACGGGTTCTGCCTGTCTGAAATGTCACAGCGCCTGCCCGACACGGCCCCCAACCCTAGAGAGACAGCGCGACCTTCCAATACTGACTTCCGCGTTTTTCTTCTGAGTCCCAATTGAATCTCCCGCTTTTTGCGCATGTGCCAATATTCCTCCAATCAGCTGTCAGTACGTCACTCGGCTGGCCCCTTCAAGCTCCACCCCTGCCAAACCCAGTAAGAGCCTGCTGCTTCATCTGCTTTGCAGGGGTTTTGGACGCATGTGCAGCCCTCTGGTTCCTGTAATAAAGTCCGTTTTCTTTTTTTCTGCCTTTGCTTCTCTACAGCACCAAGAAAAACCTATCAGGGGTTTTGAGGAGTTGTGTTCTGCTGTGCGGGCAGGTATTGATGAAACCAGAAGAGAGAAAACGAATGGAAATGACACCTGGGTCACAAATCAGAAGGACTTCACTGCAGCCAAAGCCAGAAGTGAGCACAGAAAAACAGCAGGATTAGTTTGCTAGAGTGAGCTGTTCACTTTTTTACAAAAAAAAAAAAAAAAAAATTGATTAATTGGAATTAATTATTCTAAAGTTTTTGAAGACACTTGGGGGTCACATCCAGGTCAACGCATGCTCGCAGACGTCACCAGCAGGAAGGGAGCAAGACTGTCCATCACAGTGACTTTGTCCCACTCCTCAACACAGCATGGCCTGCCTGGTCCCTCTATTCCCGCCCGCGGGCGAGCTGTGTTTCAGTCGCCAGCCATAGCCAGCCTCAGTGTCCCCTCTGCCCCATGCCGCCTGCGTCCCAGCCCCTGTGGCCCAGTGTTACAACAACAAGCCTCTCAGACTCAGTGGGCAACAGAGAAAGGCCGCAGCCTTCCTCCCTCGCTAGGGTGGCGGAATTGAATCGTCCTCAGCGTGGGGCTGCTACAAGCCTGAGCGCACTGGGCAGTAGGGACACAGAAGGGGCTCTTCCTCGGGAGGAAGGTCAGGAAGAGACACAGATTCTGTCTGAATGAGACAATGGTTAGTCGCATGGCCTCTCTGTTTTAAAAAATGGCTTTGTGAAGACCAATGGTACAAACACAAGCGGGTGTAAATGCATCAGTATGATCGCAAGTTTTCTTCTGGAAAGCAGACAAATCCACGCACTGAGAGGATAAGGGAGTTCACAGACAGTGTCTCTCCACAGGCGACTTCATGATTTTCAGGATGGGTGGGATTATGAGGATTTATTGTTTCTATTGCCACTGGAAAAGGACCTGAGTGCTGTCCTTCTGACAAGTGCATTCTATAGGACTGAGGGACTAGAAACCCTGCAGTTTTCAGCAATGGCACCCTGCAACCCCCTACCCCCATGCTGAAAGCAGCAAGACCTATATTAAAGGTGTCCTGTTCCATGTGATAAGGGGACTGATGTATAGCAGAATGTCCTTGGGAGACACCTAAGGAAACACTTATTGTGAAGCTGCGTAATGGTTTACAATTTACTATCAAGTGGTTAAGAAAACAAATCCAAAACTGATATGCATATATTCAAATTCAAGTGCAGAGTGGGAGAGAGACTGAGAAAGCAAGAGAGAGAGAGAGAGAGAGAGAGAGAGAGAGAGAGAGAGAGAGAAAACAAACATGGCAAATTGTGAACACTTGTTAAGTTCGATTGGACCTAGCATAGTTACACATAGTCATGAGTACTCATGGTTCTATTTTTGCTATATGATTGAAAATTGTCACAGTAGCTTGGATGAAGGTCCATGAATGCCTAACACTTCCAAATGAGCCAAAGATACATTAAATCATTTTTCAGAAGCCGAGGTGTACCTCAAATGATGTAAACGCCAGGGTTAGTGTTAATAGGTTTCAAGAAGCGATCCTTAGCAAGAAAAAGAGGAATCCCACCCTTAACCCCACCAGCAGCATTCCCATTGTCATATCCTGCAGGATGGCAGGAAGGAAGGGCTCCCGAGGGTGGTGCTGCTCAGGGCCACCACTCATGGATGCTGGGGTGAGGCTGCCTAAACGGGGATCACCTTTAAACCCTGCTTATGCCTGCAGCTGGAGTGGCAGGGCCCAGGCATTTGTGGGGGACCCTTTGTCACTGTGAGACTGCCCACACAGGATGGACAGGACGATCCTGATCCCAGTCACCCAGCTACCAGCCGGGTACAAATATCCCCCTTCTGTCCTGGCTACAATCTTTCAGACCTGCTTGGGGACAAGGGTGCAGAGGTGGCCATCCTGGGCTGACCTAATTGTTGGCTAGAGTCCCTGTCACTACCCATGTCCAGGTAAGAGATGTGGAGCATATACTGTGAATTAGTGACTTATTTAACATCTATTCAGCACTGTGATAGTCAGCTTCCCACTGCTGTGACCAAGTCCCTGAGAAAAATCCATGTATAGGAGGAAAGGTTTACTTTGGCCTAGTTTCAGAGCTTCCAGGTCATGTCACTTGGCTTCATTTCTCTGAGCCTGTAACAGCACAGGACATCATGGCAGAAGCATGGCTGCTCCACTCATGATGGTCAGGAAGCAACAGAAGGAAGAGGACAAGATCCAAAATCCCCTGAGGCCTGGCTCCCCAGTGACCACACTTCTTCCCCGGAGGGCTGGCCTGCTAAAGGTTCTACCACCTTCTGGTGGTGCCAGGTTGGGGACCACACCTTCCACATATGGACCTTGGGGCCATCCATGATCCAAACTATGACAAACACCTACTATGTGCCAGGCATTGGGACAGACACAAGGATACATGCATGAATAAATTAGGCAAGATTCTAGCGCTTATTATGGTCTCCAAGGTCACTGAGAGAGGGAGCCAATGAGCAAGCAGGCAAATGAATATGTGTGCGTGTACTATGTGTGGCAGGAGTGTGCGGTGTGCAAGGTGTGTGTTGTGTGTGTGGCACGTCTGTGACATGTGTATGTTTGGCACCTATGTGTGATTGTGTGTGGTGTGTGTGTGTGCACATGTGTGTGCACGTGTGTGTGCTTATACATACACATGCACACAGATGTGCTACACCCTCCTACACCTTCGGCCGGCCTGGCAGCCCTCTCCCAGCCTGGAAACCTTTTCCTCGCCTGTCTCAGTTAAAGGATGGCTGGGAAACCTCCCTCCTGCCCTCTGATCAGTTGACCCCGGGCCCTCAGCCACAGACCCCTCTCGCATCACTGCATATGGGGTCCAGTCCCGAGGCCCCACGAGCCAGGTTCCCCTCTCGGGTCTGCACTCACCGCTGCGGAAGGCCTCCGAGCATCTGCCTCATGGCTCCGCTGGAGCTGCGGTGGGTCGGGACAGGGGACAGAGGCGCCTTCCCTCCGTGCAGCCCCGCGGCCCCCTCGATCGCCTCGGCCTGGCCTGGCCTGGCGCCGCAGCCCCCGATTGCTGGGGGACAGGCGCGCGGGAAGCGCAGAGCCGGCGCTCTGGCGGCGAGCGGTGCCGGTGAATAATGGATGCGCGGAGTGGAATTACCACCCCGGGGAGCGCCGCCCTCTCCAGAGACTACCCCCGGCCGGCGCCCGGGAACGCGCTGCCCTTGCGGGGTTCACATTCGCACGCCAGATTCCAAATTCCAGGGCGTGCGTGCACACCCGGGTAATAAGCACGGGGCGGGGCGCCCTCCTCCGGACTGGCCTCCGGGCTGCCGCGGGCCAGCCGCCTCCCTGGGGGCCCAGAGGAAAGCTAGGGACCGCCTGCTGCGGCGGGGCGCCCTGCGGGAGGGCGGGGGGGGGGCGGGGAAGGAGCGCCCCACCGTTTCCAAACTGAAACGCCCGGAGAGCAACCGCTGCCGCTCTGTTTTCTGCTGCTTTGCCGATTGATTCCTAAGATATTTAGTGAGCACGTACTATGCACGTATACTGTGTAAAAGGGCGTGTATGTGTGGGTGGCTGTGAACAAGAAATAATCCTTGCTTTCACGGGGCTCCACTTGGGTGGAGGGAGACAAAAAATAAGAACACAAGAGAGAAAGAGTGTGTGGTGACGGGGAGGGCCAGTGAGCGGCCAAGGTGAGGAAACTCCCGAGGGCACCGACGTCGCCTGCTCTGGCCGGGTGCCAGCTGCTGGGTCTCAATGTGGGAACCAAGTAGGTGACACTCGAGAGCCCGGAAGTCACTCAACTGTTGGTTCCCTCCAGCCCGGGTTTCCATGACCAGAGCACTGCCCATCAGCTGGTGCCCTCCTGGGACCATGGGACCCGGCAGAGCCACACTAGGGCCAGGTCACTTTCTCGCCTGCTGTCACCCACTCCTCTTCCCAGTACAGCATCTTGCAGTGCAGTGGCCCTCCCCTGGCTGAGGGTGACAGGGATCTGAACCCTGAGACCTCAATGGCAGTGGAAGGGGGTGTGGCCAAGGTTGGGGGGGGGGACTGAGTCCATCCACAGCATGGCACAGTCGCCTACGTTCTGGGTGCCCTCGAAATCTTTTTTTTTTTTAATCGGTACCAGGGATCAAACTCACGACCGCGGGCTTGTAAGGCAGGCGCTTTTGCCGCTGAGCTAAATCTCCATCCCCTCGAAATCTTTTTTTGAGACAGGGTCTCGCTCTGTAGTTCAGGTTGGTTTTGCATTCACTCTGCAGCCCAGAGATTCTCAAATCCCAGTGATCCTCCTGCCTCAGCCTCTGGCAGATTGGAGGTGGGGGTTGAACGTGGAGACTCCTGCACTGACCAGGGCAGCCGTGCTCCCTCCCCATGGCGCACCCTCAGATGCCCATGAATCTGTCAGTGTTTGATTGAAGCGTGAAGTGGACTCCGGAATGAATTCCACTTCTTCCTGCTGACCCAACTGCAAATCAGCTACTGTCGGGATGGGAGGGACCTGAGAGATGGGCTGAAATACGGTGACAGCAGCCAGACTGTGAGGACATCAGCGAAGTAAGACTTCTGGGCAGAGTGGCCATGTGAAAACAATTAGGACAATAAATTTACTAATTGCCGAAAGCAACTTAATAACAAAACCACAACGCTCTCTGCTATTAATCCTGCTGCGGCTGCCGGCGCCAACTGTGTGCTTGCGAGGGGGGTTGTAACTATCAGGCTGGGGCTGCAGTGTTTGTAGATAGAAAGTAAAAAAAAAAAAAAGCTTGCATTGCTCTTGGTAATTGAAAAATAAATGGCTCTGCAGCCTTGTACCAAGACAGGGCCCTGGGGACTTGGGGCTTTTCTGAATCTGCACAGAGAGGGGAAAGAGGGAGGCAGGGTGCCTTGGGCTCTCTGAGACCCTCCTTTGGGCACCGTTTCTTCTTACACCATCGTGACGGGAGGTCCTCACATTCTGGAAGCCTGCGAGTTGATTTCTAACAAATAGAGGTTGAAATGCAGCATTTTAAAAGTGCGTTGGATTTCAAGGTTGGCTGAGGGTGATGGTTGCTTTGGGATAGGAGTGTCCAGTCTTTCTGGGGCTGCCAGTTACAGGTCATCCTTCACAGAGATTATAGGGGCTCTCCCCAAAAGGCAGGCATCCAGGCAACACTGCTGGAGCCAAGAGGGTTCCTTATCCCCCCACCCTGAAGAAGATCAAAGATGGCTTTGCAGTGTGCTCCTTCAATAACTCATGGTGGGGAAGGACCCCAGTTTTCCTAACTAGGCAGGCTCTGTGCGCCCACACCCACTGGGATTTGGACCATTCAGATTCGCTACTTTCTCATCAAAAATCTTCAGAAAGAAAGAAAAGAGAAGAGGAGAAAAGAAAAGAAAAGGAAGGTCAAATTTGAGACAGGGCCTCACTATGCAGTTTAGGCTAGCCTTGAACTCACAACCATCCTCCTGCCTCAGCCATTCAAGTACTGGGATTACAGGTGTGTGCCACCACACCTGGCTTTATTTCTTTTGAAATATGTTTCTATCTGCCTCCATTCTGCATTTGACTGCTTATATCTCCATGGAAAGTTGCACCGATTACTTAGGGGCTTTGTATTTTATTGCAGTGTTTTTAAATTGCAGTAAGCAGTGTAACTTTTCTCCCGGTTACAATGATGGTGAAATTTGAGACAGGCTGAAAGGCCAGCTTTGCTTCTGCAGGACCATCATCGTGGGGAGCCCCATGGAGCAGCTGGGTGGGGGAAGTGTGAGGTAGCACCTTGGGCTTCTTCTCGTGGACCCCGATCTCACTGGCCCTCAGCAGGGTTTTTCTCCAAGAGGTCTCCAGCGGTCTCTCCGCTGCCAGCAAGGCCAGCCTGCACAGAGCCCCAAAACAGCTGCTTCAGGAAACAGAGGCTGTAACCTGGGGCTTGTTAAAGTTTGGAGAGAATTAATACCTCTGAGGTCATCTCCCTCTAGCTACTCTGAGGTTTGTTCTTGGATTAAATCAGATCTTAGAGACCCGAGTCCGAGGGCGCCCGTGCTTTTTACTTCTGAACAGGGTTGCTTCTACTAAATTGCTCATTGCTCTTAACCTCTCTAATGCACTTCCAAAGAATACAAGCTAAGAAAATCCACTGCCAGGGGCACCCCTGAGTCAGCATCTCTAGAAATGTCCTGGACAGCCCAGTGTGGCAAAGCATCTCTGGGGATTCTGTGACCCATGATGGCTGCCCTGGGACCTTTCTTTCTGGTACCATGGCCAGGAACAGCTGGGCTTCTTTTGAACAACTGGATTGATGATTGATGGTGGTGATTGCTAGACACTGACTGATCACATTTGTTTTGGGGTTGATTGAAAGAATCTCAGATTCAAATCCACCTGAGCACCAATGTGCACAATCATAGCACAAATTAGTTCTCCCTGCCTCCTTCCCACAGTGTTGGGACTCAAACCCAGAGCCTCACTCAGCCACACCTCCAGCCCTGGACAGGTTCTGTGTCCACCTCCCAGCTGCTGTCTTTACTTTTCCTGCCCTTGAACTTCCTCCATCCAAAGGTCCCCAACAGAAATATTTACCTTTCTTATCATGAAACATTTCAAAGTCCACGAAAACACCTTTTTGTTTTTAAAAAATTCCAAACATACCCAAGAACAGCAAACACAGTACAATCAACTTCTAAAATCTTACTGGAGTTTGAAATCTTGGTAACGTGCCCCCGAATCCTTTCCTAATGGGGTGAAGAGTCTTCAGTGCCTCTCCCCTGGAGTCCATCTTGCTCCTCCCTCGCCCCCCTTGTGTGCTCCAGGACATTTGCACTATCTGGGACATTTGTGGTTGGCGCCACTGAGGGCTGCCAGTAGCATCTTGCAGGTAGAGCCCGGGATGCTGGTTGCTTCCTGAAATGCACAGGACAGTCCCCCACACCAAAAGCATGTCCAGCCCGAATGGACAGCTGTGCTAAAGGTGTACACTAAATAGAAAAATGAGTTGTCTGAGTCTCAAGTATTCCTAGGAAATTAACTTTAAGAAAAATCAGTTTGCATGTTGAAAAATATTCTAAGCATGGCGTGCGGGGGCAGTGATGGTACAGCCAGGGTGTCGCCCTAGACCAGCAGTGAGGGACTGGCTAGCAGAAGTGGCCTCCAGGGAGGAGAGCAGAGCCACTGTGTTCCCTGCTTCTGCCTCTGTGTTTAATAAAGATCGGACCTACTCGAGGTGCGTCTGAATAACGGAGTACCTGAGTGTTGTCAAAGGATTAGAAAATTAAATTCTTAAAAAAAAAAAAAAAAAAAAAGAAGTTGTGTCCGAGGCTAGGGAGGCCCCAGAAAGGGCTTTCCCATTGGCCCAGCCTACGGGCTCAGAGTGAGCCCAGGCTGTGACTGGAATCAGAAACACGTGGGGGCACGGGTCCCTGCCTGATGGATCAACTGCCAGAGAGTGGCGTTAGAGGAGCCATCCAGGCCATGCCCTTGACACTAATGAGGCCTGCACCGCAGGGATCAGGGAGCAGGCTGAGAGCTGGGCAGGGACTGGGTCGGCCCAGTGGGTGGGGCCCCATCTCCACCAGCTGGTGGCCTTGCACCTCCGCTGCCCTGGGGAGTTGTAGATGGGGACCAAAGTGAGGACAGCCCCTGGCTTGTTTCAAAAAGAGCAGTTCTGAACAGAAGTGCCACCTGGCCTGTCACCCCTGCCAAACAGCCTGGTGGCTCCAGGGCCCTTGGGAGGAGCAGAGACCGAGCTGCCCAGAGTGTACACAGGCCCTGCAGACCCGAGGGCCTGGGTCTCTGTGCTTCTCTTCCGGCTTCCAGGCTCTGCCCACTCAACTGCAGGCCGCGTCCAGCTGTCTCCTGGCTGCTGTCTGTTTGACTGTGCGCTCTGCCCTCCCTGTCTACCTGGTCGCCGTCACTCCTGCCTGCCCCTGCAGGAAGCACCCCTCACATGCAGGTGGGATTCCCAGGGCTGCCCCTGTCCTGGGGCCTGTCCTCCTCCCCCACAAGTGCACCATCACAGGACATGGACACTTATGCGATTGATGCCCCCACCCCAGCCACCTCAATCCCCTGGGCCACTGCTTTGCTAAAGTATCCGAGATGGTATCCTCGCTAAATGGCTGGCATCAGAAGCCCTTGGAGGGATTGGGCGTGGGGACTGTGGGTTTAGCCCTCCTTTTAATTCCCAGGCCACCTCCAAAGCCTCAAGTACCACGGCACTCAGCACACGTAGAGAGGGCTCTGCCTCAGCCGCCTGAGTGTTGGGATTGCTAAGGTTTTTGTTGTTTTAACTTCTCCATGTTGCTCTGATTTCTGTGAGCATGAACAGAAAAGAAGAATAAAAGAAGGGGTGATTTGCCTCAAGCAGAAATGTATATTCCTTTCGGTATTCTACACACATCCACCCACCCACACGCACACACACACACATGCACGCACACGCACGCACACACACACACACGCACGCGCACACACACATGCACACACACCTCTCAGCGGCCATGAACCTCTGTTGAAGCCTGACATGGGAGACATGCGGGAAACACTGTAAGATGAGCAGGACGCATCTGGTTTTGAAAGGTGAATGAAGGAGGAGGAGTGAGGCCACCCAGGAGGCCACTGACCCGCTGAACACAGAGGGCTGAGTGGCCACACACCAGCTGGCAGGTGCAGCTGTCTCAGGACACCACGGAGACCTCTGAGGACACTTTTCCTTCTCTGCTTTCTCCAGAGGCTGAAGCTCCTCCTCAAGGTTCCTCAGAGGAAGGGCACAGGGGAGCTGGGTATGATTCTGGGGTTCGGATCAGCCCTGAGCAGAACAAGCAAGGAAGAGCCATCACCAGAAAGCCACTCGCCCCCAACACGGCTGTGCCAGTCACTGCCCCAGACACGACACTGAGCCAGAGACAACGCGGACTGGAGGATGCCCTCTTTCCCAGAAGCCTGGGGCCCGCCTCTGGTCACCTGCCTCTTGGTCACCACCCCTGGCCTTGGCACTTGCATCCCATCCTCCTCTTGGAGGCCTGCAGCTCTCATTAGGAGGAAGCCAGGCCCATGTCCTCGTC